ACCCGTCTTGACCATCTTTGCCTCGAACCTTTAACTCCAGGCATGGAGCTCCCGAAGTATAAAGCTGTTTTCGTAAAGTGCTCGCGCGGGCTGCTGCCTTTGAAGCAGACTTTTCACACCCCTCCGGTCGGTTACCACGACAGCGCAGATGCGTGCTCTCGCTATGTAGAAGTCGGCATGCAAAGCCTGTGCTTGAGGGCATCGAACATGGCAAACAGCGCACTCTCCCGGCCTGTTCGGCTCGCAGTGCCCCACGCCCATCCATGACTGCCCTCTATTACCAGTAGTACTTGGGTAGCTGGCAACTCTCTGCACAACAGCCACCGTAGCCAAAGTCGCATCTTTGCACAGCGAAGTCATCCTAATCACCGGAGATGTCAGAGCTTCGTCTTCAAGAAGACCAACAGTGTCAGGGTGGGGCTGGTGTCCTTCCTCTCGGCCTCTGAACAAGGAGCGCCAAGGCCAGCCGGGCCGGGCTTGCAGCTTGGCTCCCCCATCCGGCCGGCATGCTCCGTGGAAGTGCTTCTCAAAGCTGAGAGCTCTAACTTCGAAGCCATTCTACGTTTCCTAGAAGGCACCTGAACAGAACAGTGTGGGTCTGCCATTGTGCAGGCCTTGGCCAAAGCTACCGGGGGCACGGGCCTCGATGGGTTTGTGGCAGCTCAGCTTTTCTTCTGTTTGCGGGGCTTTTGAAGGCTCAAGCTTTCGCTTCTGACCCCAACCACTAGAAACCGGAATCCTGACCTGACTCATGAAGGAAGTTGGAGTCCAACATGTTCTCGCCACTTGAATCCGAAACCCTCAGCACGACTCACTAGCCCTGAAGCATCCCGGACGCTTCGACCAGGCCCGAGGACTTGGCAAGCATCCCGAGCTGTTCCTTGTAGCATCCACGCAAGCCAAGAATGTCCTTGAAGTGGCTTCAAAATCCGACTGCTGCGCCTGCCTGAAGGGAACGAAAGCTCGCGAAGAGAACGGGTGGGGGAACTCCCATCCAGAGCTTCCGTGATCCCACTTGCTCAGAGGCATGGGCTCATCGAGAACGAGATTCTTGCTCAGCCCGTTTTGCTCACTGGGCCCCAAGCCAAAGAAAGCACGGACTAACATCTAAATTGAAAGATCCGGACGAAGCTTCGGCTCTGAAACGTGCAAGTCATGCTGCAGGAGGGGTTTCACATTCATGTAAAGCAGAGAGGTGGTGCTTCCGAGAAGGGGAGGGGGGAGTTCTAGGGCTGGGACCGCTTGCCGAGCCTACGATCACGTCTCCTCTTCGCTTCGTCCGTCTCTAGGCTTGAGAGCCCATGCGAGGCACTGCCGAACGACACCCCGAAGCAGCTGACCCTCCAGTCATCCAAGCCGGGCCTGGCGGAGGTGCCCCGGGTGTTTGTACGAGTGTTAGCAGCCCTAAGCCGACAGCCGACCAGACATCCAAGGCCCTGAAAGTTCGATGCCTTAACAAACCCCCAGCACTTACAACGCATCCCCGAAACTCACAAGTTCCCCGGTATGCAAGCTCCCAAGACAATTCCAAACCAAGAAAGTTGTCAAAGGGTCGACCGTGATGTTGGGTTTTGAAGGCTTCTCGGGTTGGCAGGTCTTGATGTCTGTGACTTCAATTCGAGAAGATGCGAGGAGGTGGGCTGCCTTTCCAAAGCCACCCCGCCGAAAAAGCATCGAAGACCACACAAACCCTGCGAAAGGCATCCCGGATCCCAAAACTCAAACCGTTCTGTAAGCCCCAACGAAGCCCTGAACCCTGAGCTCTTAATCTGTGTTAGTAAAGGACAGCCTAAGCAGCATCAGCTTGAAATCCCAAACTCTAGGCTGGCTAAACGGCTAAACCCAAAGCACTGAGCATTACCACTTTTATCTGAGACCCTGAACCCTGTGAGCCCTCGTGTAACTCCTTATAGACGGTTGAGAGATGGCCCACTCCTGCTTCCTGGATCCCGCCAGGACTGCGAGCAGTTCCAGCCATGGAGGATTCCGAGAAGGAACGTCTCGCGGAACGATACCTCCAGGTTTGCAGACTGGCCATCTCTTTTCACAGGGTATAGGGCTTAGGCATCGGGGCAGTCAGCGTGCCATGCTTGTAAACTGTGAACCCTGAGATCTTATGCACCCAAGCTTCTTTCATGAGCTGCGAGCGACTGCTGACAGGCCTCTGGACAGCGCACTGCCGGGTATCCTGCCCCGGAGCGAGACAGGAGTGCCCCTCTTATCCGCTGTCGCAAACGCTGCAGAAATGCTTGTTGACCGTCGGGCTTGGACCTGTGCGGGCTGTGCCCCGGAAGCTGGTGGAAGCAAAGCGGCGGCGTCGGCAACAGCTTCGCAGGCTTCGCATCCAGCAAGCGCAGAATTGAACTTAAAAAAACTGAGAGGGCAAGCCGGACCAGATTGAATCGCACTTCTGTCTTGGCTTGCCTTCCATTACATTGGACGAAGCAGATGCTGTTGGCATCTGTTGGCAATGTCGGAGGCAGCACCGGCGAAGGAGTACGACCTAGCCGACAAAAGCAAGCTGACAGACTTCCTCGAAGATGCGGACATCCGCTTGGAGGTGGAATCGTCCGGTCATTCACAGCCAACGCCGGTTTTAGCTATATCTTGCGGGCGGTCACGCAGCTAGTCGCGAGTTGGAAGCTGGATCTGTGACTCAAAGTCAAGAGTGTTTCTGCTACCCCAACCAAGTCACAACTAGAATGGGGCCTCGGCTAGCGGAGTCTGCCGGCCTTTCCTTACCGGCTTCTCCGCTTGCAAGGGCGGCCCGGGCAAGCGGAGCATCTCGATGGATGCCCTGCGCATCATCGTGAGAAACCTCCAAGGCCGGAAGCAGAGCTGCCGAAACCTGCCAGGGACTTTCCGTCGCAGCCTTTCAGAAGCTTTGGCATTTAGGTCATCTGCTCACTGGTGCATGCACCCTACAGCCTACAGTGCAGCCTGCAGCAGGTGACCGCTTCACCGTGGACATGCTCCAGGCAGAGACGGTGTGGCCAGTTGGGCGACCGGTCACTACCCAACACCCTGCGTCAGGGCATCTTGCAAGAGGTTCATGCCGATAGCCTGAAGCTCAGCCGTAAGAGCACAGTGGTTTCTCAAAGATGCTCCGTGGTGGATGCTCCCTTGCGGAGGCGAGGGGCTGCTGAGCTGCGAGGACTTGGCACGCTGCCTCCGCCGTCCGGATCCAGCTCCAGAGCCGGAAAAGGCTGGAGCGTGGGGGTGAGGGTCGGGTCTGCGCAAGTTAAACCACTGCGATGTCGCGCAAAGGCCTGCGCCAGTCCAAGCGCTATTACGACCTGGCTGAGAAGAGTGGACTGGCGGATTTCTTGAAAGATGCGGACATCCGCTTGGTGCATGCCTCGCCGCAGTGGGTTTAGGGTCTACTTAGAGGATTATGGGACTTAGTAACTCGGGTTATAATTAGGGTAACTGTACTTTTAACTACTTGTATCCCCACTTAGGGTACTTATAACCGTACTTACTAAGTCCCATGATCCTCCACGCTGACAGATTTCGCCAAATGCCTGGCTGGGTCCCGAGGTCGAGGCCAAATGGGTGCAATGGGGGTTTAACAGGGCCTTTAGAGGGATCCTTTAAGGGAATCTATAAGGATTACTATTTAAAGGGCCTTTCAAGGGATCCTTTAAGGGAGTCTACAAGGATTACTATATTATAAGGGGGTATTTTGCTTAGGGTTAAGGGTTTAGGGGTTAGGGTTTAGGGTGCAATGGGGTTGGCCTTCAGGGTTTAGGGGTTCTTTAGGGTTCCTTGAAGGGTTTCTTTAAGGGATCTATGGGGTTCCGTTAAGGGATCTATAGGGTGTAGGGGTTTAGGGATTTTGGGTTCAGGGTTTAGGAGTTTTGGGTCTTAGATGCTTTAGGGTTTAACGTTTAGGGTCTTAGGGTTTAGGGTTTCGGGTTGGGGGATTAAGGCAAGGGCCTGTGCAGTGGGGAAAGGACTCCCTTTTGGGGCTAAAGGGGTCTAGAATGATTCCAGAATAAGGTTCCGGGGTAGGTCGTATTATGTCTGCCATACGGAACCCTAAGGAAATTGTTGGCATGTATGCCGGCCTCTACAATCGCTTTTAAGGTTTCCTTTCGTGGTTCCTCCAAACGATTCTATAGATGTTCAGGATTTCCAGCTTTATAGGGTGTAATCAGGGCTTAAGGCGTTTAACACAGGGGCAGAGTTTTGTAGGAGTTCCCTTTACGAGTTCTATAAAGCGCACGGTTTCATGTTTGAGGTGCATGGTTTGGGGGGTTATATAAGTCTTTTCTTATACGGCTTCGGGTAAGCATGTGACATAGGTGGGCCGTGGGAATGTCAATTCAATCAACTAACCCCAAAACCTTGAAATAGTCTTCAATCTGAGCTGTTTGTCTGGGTCCAGGTTTCTCAGCTATTGGTTCAATCACCCACTGCCCTGAATCCCAATTCCTTAACCCCATTTGGCTCAGAATGCCCGCATGAACGCAAAGCCCCTCTTAACGGGCCCTGCACGATGCATGTCGCCAGTACAGCCCTACAGAACCTTATAAGGCCTTGTAAAGCCTTTCAGCTATTGCACTAGTCACTAGTAAAAAAGCACATCCTGGCGCAAATTTCGGGTTTGGGTTCAAGAGAATTCAGGGGAGTTTCTACTGGGGTTTCGGGTGTAGGTTTTTTGGGGCTGTGCGTAGCTTCTGTTTTCGATTGAGGTTTCAGGCTTTAGGGGTTTCTCGTTTGGTCAGCGGGGCTTGCAGCATTTAGGTTTTTTTAATCATGCTTAGCGGCAGTCATCATCTTCGGCGGATCTAATCATGAGGTAGGCGTTTGGATTTAGCAACTTGTGGCTTGGGATTCATGCTTCGGGTTGACAGGTCAGGGACTCTTATGGCAGCAGGCACAGTCCAAAAGTCAAAAAGTTTCCTCGGGATGGGGAAACTGCATAGGAAGAAAGCAAACATTCCGCTGTGCAGTGCGGCTCAAGATTCCTCTGTTGCATTGCAAGTGACGTTGCCATGGCTTCCCCGGATGCATCTCGTTTGCAAAGCCATTGAAGTTATGGGAGCCGAGCTACTCCGAACCCTGCCCTTGCACCGAAGGAACTATCAAGAATTATTGAAATCTTCGCGCTCCCAGATGTTATGCAGCTTGCATGGCCAGTTGAGCCCATCAGGGAGGCTAGAGATTTTCAAACCTAGCCAGGTGCCTGTTGCAATTCACAAGCACTTGGATGATGTAGCATTCGATTTTCGTATAGTACAGCTTCATTGAAACCTCTAGTCTTTACGCCTTAAGGTATTTTGATTGCTTAGGCATGTTTAGGCAACACTCTCTGTTTCGGATGCTTCGCTCTGTTCATGGCTTAGGGCTTTCTTGTCTAAATAAAAATAGAACGAAAGTCAAGTATTCTTAAACCGGGGTAAAGTGCTACCCTCTGTGTTCAGCATCTGCAGTACAGTAGTAGTTCAGAATTTAAACGACCCCACAGTTTACAGTTTCAGAGGTTGCGTTTAGAGGGTTGGGTTAAGGGCTTTCGCTATCCCGGCTACGGCTTGCAAGGCTTCCGTTGACGGTGTTGATGAGTGTAGAATCTGAACTGAAGGGTCCTGGCACGCGACTAAGGGATCCATAGCCTCTGAAGGTATTCTTGGTGGTTTTTCGGCTGTATGCTGACAGCTGTCCGGAAACCTTGAATGCTAAGCCGCCAAAGTGACAAAGTAGAGTCTTGCGACGGCTTCGGGTTTAGGTTGAGGGTTTAGGTTTTATGGTTTAGGGTTTCGGCGCCAAGGTGGTCGTGCTATCGGTGAAGGTTGCCAAGCAGCGCAAGCCTCGTCCACCGCGGAAGGCTTCAAGTGCACCCAGTACAACCCTCTCCGCAGCCATGAAGCAAACCCTAGACCCTTTTCAGAGTAATATAGTGGCCTAAATAATTACCTATACCATTTTGGAGGTTCCATATTATATTTATAGATGTTTGTAGTATAATGGGCCCCAAAGTCCTATTCAACCCTTTTCTAAGTATTGAGGCCCCTATATTAGAGTTTGTGGCTCCAGTAGCGCTCGAGGTGTTGCGGAGTTGCGCTTTCAAGTTGCTGCTATATGTATATATATATACATATATATACATACATATATATATATATATTAAGGACCATCACTAATTCTTCAGGCTTTTTTACTCTCCCCTTTAAAGTCCGGGATTTTGAGGTATAGTTTTACAGCAGCAGGGAGAGTTTAGAGGTGAGTGCTAAGGTTGAGGTCGTAGGATTTAATTTTAACGCTACGCCGCCCGCCTCGGCTGTGTAGCGGCAGGCTTTACACGGTTGTTGATACCAAGTGCAAACGGGGGCAAAGGGGGGTGGAGGGGGGGGTGAGGGGGGGGGAGGGGCGGGAGGGGGGGGAGGGGGTGAAACACTGAAGGTGCCTGTCTGTTTCACGTATCACTTGCATGTATCCATGCCTGTTGCTCAAGGTTCTAGTGCAGTGGACTACAGCTGTGCGCCTGTAGTAAAAGAGACACCTGAGTGCCTGTGTTCCTGTACGCCTAGCGAGGGGATACACGTCCAGGTTACATCTCAACGTGGTAGCGGAGCTCCCGGGAAACGGGAAGCTTCACACTTGTGGAGGTACCCGTTCGGTACTCTCTACACAGGTGGAGGCAACCGGAATACCCGGTGTGCTTCACTCAAGTGAAGGTGACCGGAGTCTCTCCGGCACACTTCACTCAAGTGAGGATAACCGGAAGAGGTTTCTCCCGGGGCTCGATCCAAGAACAGCGCAATGGCTAGCCACTCTGCGACTATCTTTGAGCATGATGGAGGAGATGAAGACTACTTCCTTCAAGGCAATGAATCTTTCGCGACTAATCATCGTCATCTCAATGAACTACACCGTCTTTCAGCTTTCCAGCAGGTGACCACCAAAGTACCTCCATCTTATGATGGTAGAAGTAGTTGGTTTGCCTACGAAGATGCGATCGACGACTGGTGTGACATTACTGAGCTAGACAATGAGAAGCGTGGACCAGCTTTGAGAAATCGGCTAGAAGGTGAAGCAGCAATCCACAAGAGGCTTCTCGACAGAGATCGCCTGAAGGACCCGAACAAAGGAGTTAAGTACTTCAAGAGTTTTCTGCGGCCGCTCTTCGTGAAGGGAGCAGCGAATGTTTTCCTTTATCGCTTCCAGCAGTTCATGAACTTACACCGCGGAAACGGAGACATGCTTCATTGGATTACCAGGTTTCAACTCTCTGTTCAGAGAATGCAAGAAGCGTGGAACGATACCTATCTGCCGATCGTTGACCCGAACAATGCAGAGGTCAGAGCCTTCATAGCAGGACTTCCGAAAGAAGAACAAGAAGGACTCACGCCAGAGCAGGCAATGGAGAGAGCCAACGACCGGCTCAGAGATCAGCATGCTCGGACCATTCCGATCACCGCCAATCTCGTTGCTTTTATTTTTGTCTCTCTGTCCGACTTGACGCAGGATCAGCGGCAGGTGTTGACATCACTGATGGCGCATCGGAACCGAGTTCTGGCTGACTACAATGTGACCGAGCTGCGTGAGGTCTACCTTGAGATCTTCTGCACGACCAAGACTACCGTCGACAACCCTCTCCTCGCTCCTTCCGGCCACGGTGGCCGCAAGACATTCCTCGTGATCGACGAAGGATACTTGGACAATCACGAAGGCTACTGGGTCGAGGACGAGGAGGATGGCACAGAAGGGTTCCTCGAAGCTGATGAGGACGCCCTCTGGGTCTACGACGACGAGAACTACTCATGGTTCCAGCGGCGCTTCCAAGGCCGTAAGATGAGGCGCGGATTCAAGGGCCACCGCAAAGGCAAAGGCAAGGGTGGCAAAGGATCCAAAGGAAGGCGCTTCTTCAAGAGGAAGAAAGGCAGGTCCAATCTTGCCGAAGAATCAGAAGCATGGCAAGCAGAAGGACAGTGGCAAGATTACCAGTGGAGCGATCAGTCCTGGGATGACTGGTCCTGGTATGAGTCAGAGGAGTCCTATGCAGCCAAGGAAAAGGAAAGAAAGGAAAGAAGGGCAAAGGAAAGAGCAAGTTCGGCAAAGATGGAAAAGATGGAAAGTCCGGAAAGGACGGACAGAACCAGCTTGCTGATGCTGCCCCGAGCGGCACCACAGCCGCCACAACCTTCTTCGTTGAACATCTCAACACTCCGAACCTTTCTTTCATGGCCACCGAAGAGAAGATCAATGAGATCGAAGAAGCCTTCATCTCTCAGCCCTTGACGCCAACCGCGATGGTGTTGGACTTGGGATGCACGAGAGCAATGGCTTCGAGAGTGGCCGCACAGGACCTCATGGAGTTCTGTGACAAGAACCAGAACTGTGGCATATCGTACACCATTGCTGAGACCACTTCTCAGTTTACCTTTGCCAATTCCGAGTCGACCAAGTGCAACCAGAAGTTGGTCATTTGCATGTACGACCAGGATTATGCAGTTCAATCCACAGAGTTCGACATTGTGGAACAAGGGCATGTTCCCATTCTCATGTCCTTACCTCAGATGCGCAATCTTCGTTTCCAGTTCGAACTCCATCCGGAAAAGGCTTTGCTCAGCAGCCCTGTGCTGGGAATCAAGGATGTGAGGCTGAAGGTTGCACCTAGCTCACACCTGGTACTTGACCTTCTTGAACTCAGTCAGTTGATGTGGAATGTGCGTTTCAGCAAGCATAAGAAGTCGAGCTTCCTCACCCACTTCTCCCACTACGAGTACGGCTTCCATCAGAAGACCGAGGGAAGCTGTTCTCAGGAACAGGTACCCGATAATCTCGTTTTGGCGACGGATGATGAATGGGTGATTAATGAAGCCGACATGGAGATGATTCGCGTCCACAAGAAGCTGAGAAGAGTCAAGTACGAACCCAAGGCGGGCCTCGTGCCTATTCCGTTGGAGTATCAGGACGATAGGCGCAAGACGATCATGGAGTTCTCCAAGGGAAAGAACGTTACTCAATAAGATGACTGGCGTTCTTCTGAGCTTTCTTCAACAAGAACTACTGACTCTTGGAAAGGCAAGACCATTTTCAAGATTCTGCCTGGTGGCATCGGGAGTAGAACCTCGGTGCCAGCTAAGTCCAAGGATCCAACCCGTGGTAAGGTAGGATCTCCAGAGGACATGGTTAGCGCAGGTAAACCTGAAGACAGCTCGAAGAACACAGGAGCATCCGGAAGCTTTCCTCAGGGAAAGGTACCGGTAGCGAGAAGAATTCGAGCCAAGGGAAGCTTTCCACAGGGAAAGGAACCGGCTCCCCCTCCTCTTGCTCCTGAAGATGATCCGGATCTTCAAGAGTACGAACCATCCGAACCGGGGGATGCAGATTTGCTTCCTCCGAAGGCCCCAGAGGCACAGTCGCTAGAACCTAGGAGGATCGCGCTTCCATTGCCAGGCCACGAGGTCTCAAGGGCTTCTCCGCAGTACCAGCGCATGTTGGAAAAGCTGAACAATGATGTTGAGCTTTACAAGTTGCATGTGAAGCATTACCACATGAGTCCTGCTCAGTTTCGACGCAGGACCAGCATGCTTGGGCTGCCAGGAGAAATCTATGACAAGTACGACTGCATCGTCAAAGGCTGTCGTGTTTGTAGCACCCCCGTGCCTACGCCTCCGCGAGCCAGAATCGCAGGGTTGAGAGCATCATCCTTCGGTGATCTCATTTTTGTTGATCACGAAGAGATTAAGTTTGGTACTAAAGCCTACCTGGCTTTGGTCATCATTGATGGTGCTTCGAATCTCCTGTGGGCTACGGCTCTCACAAGCCTGGAAGCGCCAGAGACTCTGGGAGCTTTTCGACAATGGACAGATGAGAACAACTGCGTTCCTAAGGGAATCGTAGGAGATCAAGCATTTTTCACGCCACAGTTCATGTCCTATTACAAGTTCCATGGCATTACTCCATATCCATGTGGACCGCGAACTCCTTGGCCTAATCGAGCTGAGACCGCAGTGCGTCTTTTCAAGCGCACGTGGGCCATCATGGCCAAGGCCTTAGCTGATGAAGGTTATGCAGAGAAGGTTACTGTTCGTCAAGCAGTCAAGAAGGTGGCTTGGGCAAGGAATTGCCAGCTTACCGTCTCGGGCTACTCTCCTCTGGAGATAGCCACAGGTAGACGTCCACCAGAATTGTTTGACGTGGAGAACAGTTCTCCTGAACAGCTCTCTGCTGATCCTGCCGAGGAGGATCGAACCACTCTGGAACTCCAGAGAATTGCCATGCGAGCTCATCAAGAAGCCAGACAGTCGCTTGACCTTCGAAAGGACCTGGCGCGCAGAGTGATGCCGTCTGATGGTCCATATTCGAAGGGTGATCGCGTGTTTGTTTGGCATAAGGATGAGTCGAAGAAGAAGTCTGAAGGAACCTGGGTCATGCAGAGGTATAGTTGTGTCACAGGAAGGTGCCATGGTGTTAGTTGAAGTTCATCGTGCCGTTCTTCGGGTTAATCAGTCGAAGGTCAGGTGTGATGGAGATCCGTGGCGTGATGTGGCTATTCCTCTGAAGAAAGATGAGGTCCCGAGACGCTCTTCTCAGGAAGAGGCACTCGACCGCATCGGCGACGATCTTCTTGATCGTGCCGGTTCTGGGTTCTGCTATGAGCATGAGATCTGTTACCACACTCTCACTTCAGGTAAAAACGACTTCGTTGAGATCACACCTCGCCTCACCGGGCTTACTGCGTGCACTGTCCATTCTGGACTTGATGCGAGTGAGCCTGTGTTGTTTGGTGAATGGAATGCCAAGTCCATCCAATCTTCGATTGAGTATGCTTGGCAAGTGACATTCCTGACGGTTGGCCCAGGAAGGCCGCCAATGCCT